TAGGCTTCCTTTTTTTTTTTTTTTGAGTTTGCTCAGGAGTTCCTTGTTTATCCCTGCAGGCCTCCTGGCATTTTTGCCTGCCTTCCTCTGTAATTCATTTTAAAAACTGATTTCAGAATAAGTTACATCTCAAAATAATTTTGAGAAAATGAGGGATATAGTGTTCGGTTTTTTCTGTCTTGGTCACATCCTCCTGTGTAAAAATCGTTGTTAATCAGTTTAATCAGTTAAGTAGTTTGTTTGTGGTGTTTTGCTTTATTTTCTTTCTTAAAAGGTGCTCTTTCATATACCTTTTCCTTTTATCTGTAGTTAGTTGTGCCGTAACTCCTCACAGAGGAAACAGTAAGGGTCTGTCTCAGCTAACCCAGACTCTTTGAAAGCTATGTGAATCATCCTATGCTTATGCTCATATCTTTTCAGAGTTTTTTGTGTTGTGGTTTTGGGTATGAAAATAAAATGGGTACCTGCTGCACTGCTGTGTAATTCATTTGTTTGTGTGTAATACTGATATCAATATGTATAAGTGTTATGGATTTCTTAGTTTTATTGTAAAGTGCGTTTTTTCTTAAGAGGTGGTCAAAAAATACTAACCCACAATTTATTTAAAAGCCTTTTTTTTAAAAGTAAAAGTCTTTAGTAAGATCTTACTGTCATTTAGTGATGGGGAAATCAGAAATCTAAACTGAAAAAGGAACGTGGTCGTGTTTGACTGCAGTAGAACTGGCCTGACTGCATGGAAAAGAAATAGTAGCTGTTTTAAATTAATGGTCTTATCTATTCTGCCACTCAAGCTTCTCTTTTTAGTAATGGTTAGGTTTGGAAATGTCTTCCCTCCCAGGGTATTCAAATTATAAAGGTGCAAAGGAAGTTGAAAAGGGGGGTGCAGTTAAGTAAACTAATTGAATTAATATTAAGACCTAACAGCCTTCTGATGAATTTAGAACTTTGCAGGTGGATTATTTCATATGGAATGGTCATGATGCAATATCTTTTCAGATGAAGGAGATGGCTCACCAAGTTGTAATGCTTCAGTGTTTAACTTCTATAACTACTTAAGAACACATCCTCTTTTGTTGAGACGTCATTTTGGATCTTCTGATACATCTTCCACACACATTCGCCTAACAGTTGAAAATGGATTAGCTGACAAAATCAACCTAGACGAAAGACGGCTCTTCTTCACCACTGCATATGCTCATCTAAAAGCTGGTTGTCCTATGTTGGCCTTAGAAGTGTTATCAAAGATGCCAAAAGTTGTCAAGAGGTCAGAGTCATTCTGGAGATCCCCTAGTTTAGTGGATACTAGTAAAGATTTTTCACCATCTTCTCCAGTTAAAGAGTTGGAAACAAAAGACCAGTCTTCCAGTGTTGATTGGTCACAGCCAGTATTGAATGGCCTAGGCTCATCTTCAGATTGTTCATCAGGAAAACATTCAAGTTCAACTCTTTCTTGTGACTGGAGCCAGCCAAGTGTGGTATTCCAAGATGAACACTTGAACCTACAGTCAGACAGTGATGAAAGTGATGAGAGTGAAGATTCTTCCCTGGTAGTGAAAAAGCTAAATCCTCTGAAGGAAACTGAAAAATTGTATGAAACAAGTTTTAGCTACACAGAATCTTTTAGTGTAGTTGATGACAAAGATATTCTAAGTCCATCAGAAGATATAATTTCAGCACAGCTGAAGTTTAGAGCATGCCTGAAAATTCTTACTGTAGAGCTTCGTACGCTGTCCACTGGTTATGAAGTAGATGGTGGGAAGTTGAGATATCAGCTTTATCAGTGGCTTGAAAGAGAAGTGGTAGCTCTTCAAAAGACCTGTGATTATGGTGTTGAAGAGATACAGTCAGGAATTGGTGTGATGCCAGAGGAGGCTATGTCACATGAAAATGCTGAAGACTTATCTGACCTGCAAAAAAATATGCTACAGAAAGAAAACTTGCAGAAAAGATGCCAGTGGCTTCTGAAATACCAGTCTCTCTTAAGAATGTTCCTTAGTTACTGTATACTTCATGGCTCTCATGGTGGAGGTTTGGCATCTGTCAGAATGGAATTAATTCTGCTGTTACAGGAGTCTCAGCAGGTATGTAGGAGAGCTTAGTTTGTGTTTCTCTGCTTCAGATTTGTTGTAGATTTTTTTTGTGTTCTGTATTATTGTTCAAGTTGTCCCATTGTAGCATGCACCTGTTTCATAATAGATGGAACACTTCTTAACATGTTGTGTCTTCTGTAGGTTATGGAGGGGTTTGTTGTTTAGAATCCCCTTCTCCTCTTTCAGAAGTTCCTCTGTTCCCTTTAGGAAGCTGTACTATCACTTTGTGTGTGTGTTTCTTGCTTGTTTTTAGGAGCAGTCAAAGCAGATACCTTCCAGCCCTCTACCAGAGCAAACTTCCATACCTCTCCTGTTTGCTTGCACAGCTAGTGCCAAAACAGTGGTGGCTAATCCATTGCTACATCTTGGTAACTTAACTCATGATATATTACATGCCATAATAGACCTTGATTCACCTCCTCATCCAGATACTCAGAACAACAAGGTGTGTACGTTTTTCTAGTCGTTTGAGTTGTTGTCATTGTCCAGTTTGCTGAAGTCAGTGTTTTTCTGACAGTATGGAAACTTTTTGGTGTGCCTACCTGTGGCAATAAAGCTGTGTAACATAAATATTTTCTGTAGTACTTATCTTGGGCTAATATGATTTCCACGGATATTACTTCCTGTTGAGGTGCTGAGCATCTGGTTTAACACACTGAAGTAGTTTGGCCTCTCTCAGGACTTTGTCCAAGATGACATCTGTTATGGAAAACATGTTGTACTACACTATCAGTGTCACATTTGTCTTTATGACAATATGGTAATTACTTCTGTTATATTAATGTTAAACTCTGCATTTCAGTCCCAGACATAAGTAAAACTATGTTTTGAAGTATAAAAACTGTTTGTCAGCAAAGTGCAGTAAACACAGACATTTTTGTAAAACACTATATATGTTCATACAGTAAAATAGTCTGGTTTTTTAAGTTATGTTTCTGTAAGGTTTCTTCTGTGTTTAATCTTGGACTGGAAACCAAACTTAAAGTGTTAGCTTAAATCTTCCCTGAAGTTTTGAATGTGTTAGGTCCCAAATAATGTTTACTTTTGCTAGGGATTTCTAGAGAACACTAAAGAGAATACTCAGTGTCTCAAGTCTGTACCTTGTTTCAGAGGGAACAGACAAATAAGTGTAATAAACTAAATTTTTTAACTGAACCTTTTTGATAACAGGTTCTCTAGCTCTTTATGTAAGTGTGTTCTGTGATACATTAAGAAAAGTATCAGCTATGATAAAAACAGTGATCAGTGTGATACTGAGTAAATAGCGTGTGCATCTGAGAGCTGCACAAGAATTGGTCAAAAACTAAGCTGCGTTATAATTTTCATTCTGAAGCAAAGCCATTGTATTCTGAGCCAGCATATTGCTACTGTTTTAGGGTATAATCACTTATGACTATTGTATAAAGGTTTAATATGTTGCTGTTTCTTAATTGAAAACATAGCAGCTAGAGCTGTTCTGTGATTATGGACTTAAGGAGTGGTTGAGTGCCTCCCCATAATTTTCATTGCAAAGGGAATTGGTGTGTATGAAATGAATTCTGAAGGTGGCTTTGTAAGTGATTTTTGCTGTAAGTGCTTATACCTTCCATATTCAGTGCTTGTTCCGCTGTTACAAATCGGTATGCATGAAACACTGTGATACTAACTACTGTTCATCTTGAGTGTAACGTGTTCTATACAACTTTGTCTTACAGATATGTGTAATGCATACATTAGCAGCGTCACTCTCTGTGTGCATCTACCAGTGTCTTTGTGATGGCCACAGCTACAGGTAAAGGTCTATGAAAAGTACATTTTAGAGAATGGTCAACACACTGTATCACTGTAACGATGGTATAATAGTGCACCAGAAGGTAGTGCCTATACCTACCTACAGCTAGAAAGGGCTGTCACTTGATTAAACATTACTTTTTTTAATAAATACGACATCCCACTTTTCTGTTTCACAGCTCATTTCAAGCAAATCAGTTCACTGGAACAGTTTATCAGACAGTGCTCTTAACTCGGCGCCATTCTCTAAGAACAACAAGCTTAGAAGAAACAGTGACTCCCAATACATCACCTGCTCAGTGGCCAGGTATCTAGAGTTGATTTGTTTCTTTCCTCTTAAGGAAAACTGACTTGTCTGGATCCACTGTAAGAGCATGTAGCTATGCTCTGGACTTTCTAGTAGTATTTGCAACAGCTGTGTCATAAAAGTAAGTTGTTATAGTAAAATTTTATCTTCATTTTTCAAAAGCTGTAAGGTAATAATTCTGGTTATTCATTAAGTCCAGTTGATTTATATTGCTTTCTCTTGATAAAAAAATATTAGTGGGGGCTCTAGTAAAGGAAGTGTTTTCCTGTGCTTTACTTGCTCCACCTGCAGGCAACAGATCAGTCTCACTGTTATTCTACTTGCTCTTGAAAAAGACTTGAGAGGCTATCTTTGTGCTCCATCTCAGAATGATTGTAGCTTATGTACAACTTTTTAACTAACGTGAAACTGTTGACAATGAGAAATTTATAATGAATTATGTTGTTTCTGTAGTTCTAAAATCCATGTAGGACTGCAGGTGATTCTTAACATTTCCTGGGATCAGTGCTAATGAAGCTACACTGGTCACATTAGAGGGAGTGTAAGCTACATAGTACATGTCTGTATGAGCTTTAGTTTACAGCAGTAATTTTAATGTAAGTGTAACCAGGAAGTATGCTTTTATATTACGGGATTTTTTTTTTTTAATAAGAAAATTTCACATTAAAAAAAATCTTTGGAGAACTTTAAGCAGTTGTTGTGTCTGATGCTATACTGTTTTTTCTTTTTCCACAAAAAGTTCTGTCAGTGAATCTACAGATTTGAGAGAGAAATCAGATTGTCATCTATTTTCATTTCATTAGTTGCAGAGTTAAATTTCTACTGAATCAGTCAAGGGTTTGTTAGCAGTTGTGCTTGTAGGTAGCATCACTTTGAACAAATTTATCTTTTTTATTTAATAGCTTCACATGCTTCATGTGCAAATGGGAGAGTATAACACAAAGCAGAACTCTTTGGCCACTGCTATTTGTATTTTCACTTATGTGCACAAAGTGACACAGTTGGAGCCACATCCTGAAACTCCAAAACTTTTTGTGGGAGTGTAAGAACACTACAAGATTTTTAGTTCTTGGGTGAAAGAACACTTGTCAGACAATGCATAGTTCAAGTTGATGCCCATGATTTTTGGTTGGTTTTACAACTGCAAAATGAGAATATAGCGTTTCAATTTACAGTGTTATACTGGAATTACAAACCTAACTGGTGAAACAAGCACTGCAGGAAAGTCAATGATCAGATCAGTATTTTAAGTGTAAGATCTAGATGCTATGTATTGAGTATACTGTGAGGCACTAGATTAAAAATATAGAATAAAAAGCTAACCCATTGAAAGAATTTTGGAACCAGAGAAGAGCTTGAGACAGGGGAAGAAGAAAGATGGATGTAAATAATGTAACTAAATGTTGTGTCATAGAATTTCAGTACTGGGGAGTTGAATTAAAGCTGCCAGTGTTTATTTAAGATATATCCTCAAATTTGAGTGCTTTAAAATGTTTTTTTTCCCCTCTTATTCTTGAAAAGTTGCTCTGTATTTCTTGTTACTCCAAAACATGAAGCTGAAAAGCTCTAATAAAGTGTTAAAAATAAATAGCGTGCCACTTTCTCCTGGAGTCTTCAGTTTCCACTAAAACTTAGAAGTTTTTCTGCACTAGAAGCTACTAAATAACATAGGTTGCACTCAAAATACCTTTTTTTTTTTTTTTTTTAATAAAATAGGAATAACAGCTCTAATATGTCTCTTGAATTCTGCTGGTGAGGAAGCCCAGCCAGGTCTCACAGTTTTACTTTGTGAAATTCTAACTGCGGTCTATCTGAGTCTGTTCATCCATGGCCTAGCAACACATTCTAGCAATGAGTTGTATAGAATTATGGCTCATCCACTTAACAACAAAATGTGGTCTGCTGTCTTTGGAGGAGGAGCTCATACGCCCAGCAGAGGACAACTGCAATTAAAGACAAAAACTGGTTAGTTCTACTGTTTTACTTACTTTTGTCTTCTGGGTTTTTTTAAGAAAATGTGGGTGCTGAAAGCTTAAGAGTAATGGCTTTATATAGCTTGTGTTGAGTAAGAATTCAGTGTGTTTTTAGATCTGCAAAGAAAAACAAGGATCTAAAATTATTGGCATAGATATTGTGTTGAAGAGAGTAGGAAGCAGGAGTGAATGTTATTGAAGTAAGGTTTCCAAGTAGCACAGCTGCTGTAATGCGAGGGGGTTAAGTTCATCTTAAAGAGAAAATTTTCAGTACTGTTACAGGTTAGTTTTTAGTGTTAATTTTAAAGCTTTTCAGTTCTCTCATAACAGGAATATAGTCCCATTTTGCAAATACAGTGTGTTTTCTCTCTTTGACAGGTAGGCACTTCTCAATGCCTAGCCCACATCAGGTAGTAGTATTCTCCATGGAATGCGTGGGGTTTTCCAAATCCCTTACTGCCTTCAGTACTCATAGTCCTACCAAAACTTCAGGCAAGATGCTAGATTTAGTACTAGGCCTCGACAATGCAGTTTGCTATGTGTGATGTGGTTTTTTTGCATATGTAGAAAGACAGAAAAACTTCTGTTTGCAAGCCATGAAATAAAAATTGAAAGAAAGTTTTGTAATTAAAGCAGCAGTTGAATTAGGCCTTTTTAAAAAAGAAAATTGGCCATGCTTTTGTATTCCTACTACACTTCATTTGAAACCAATATTAAATATAAAATTCCTTTGACCATGGTTTGAAAGGATCAGAAGTGTTTCATATCTTTGTTGGAGAGCTGCTTGTTTTGCTTTTTGAATATAAGCATTATTATGCATGTGGATTTCTAAGTGTTAATTCTAGACATTACAAAGAAAAGGTGTCTTGTTGATATTCAATTTGTATAGTCTGAGAACCCTTTAGGAAAGCAAACAACCTTCAAGTTTTAAATTCAGATGATTCTGAACTATCCTGAGGTCCAGAATGAATTGTGTAATGCTTTTCTTTTTGGTACAGATTTGTGCTTTGTAATTTAGCTGTGCTTCTCTAAAACCAAGAGCAAGAGTCCTACACATTGTCTAATTCTTTAAAAGGAAGATTTTGTAAAGATGGATTTACTTAAACTATGGTGACTTTGTATGTCACATCTAAAAAAAAAAATATATATATATATAAACTATAAGTTAAATGATATAATTTTTTGGTTTTATATTGTTACCATTGATATTAAATGTATGTTACATATAAAAGTGTCTTACCTTCCATTTAAGGAAAACTGAAAATGTGGTCTGTTTAAATAAACTGTCAGACATGTAGAAAAGTATTTTCAGAGTAGAAATCTTTAATCAAAAGTGAGTTCTCGTCCTAGAGCTGATCAGTTTTCTGTGTGGTATTGAATAAATATTTCTCATCATTTTGTTAAGGTAAATATATTTGCCATGTCGTAATTGTTGGAAGGCATAACTGGCTTATTTTGGCAATTCTAAGTTTCCTAGGTGTTGGTAACTATATACTGTGTTAATGCTGCTGCTACTACTTTTCTAAAGTTATAACTGTTTTTACATAGAAAAGTATTCTGAAATGTGTACTGAATACCTGTCTACGGCATTTTTTTTTCTTAAAAATGAATGCTGGATGTTTGATCAAAGAATTAGTAAAACTGTTGCTGGAAGAATCAAGAAGCTGAAAATTTAAGGGAAGAAGGGACCTTTTAAAATACTAATTCATAAGGATAATCAAACACTGGAAAAGGGGCCTAGAGGGGTTTCCGTCTTTGGAGTTGTTCAAAACTTGAACAAACTTGGCCATTACCTAAGTCAGCCCTGTTCAGAGCAAGGGGTTGGACCAGGTGCCTTCCAACCTACCTAATTCTAGGATTTTGTAGGTCTGTTATTTGTTTTTAATGAGTGTTTATCTAGAGCAAATTTGGGAAAACAATTTTGGAGAAACATCTTTGTCACTTTAAATTTAAAAAAAAATGAAAGAAAGAAAAAAAAAAGACACCCAGTGAAGCAGGATTAGAATCAGCTGTATTTTTTGTACCTTTTCTGTCATCCCTTACTTTTTCTTCTGACACCCAGAAACAAATATTGATAAGTGACTGGAATGCTTGTTCCGGTCAACCATGGTGCATTCTTCCGTACTTTGATTTAGACTTTTTTTATTTTTAGATTTTTGTGAAATGTTTTCACTCTCAAATGAAGATCAAAAGCTAAAAATTTTTGACACTAAAAATTCCAACATAATAACACTGTATGTCCTGCATGTCTTCTCCTGCTTACCTGTTTCACAATCTCCACCCCCTCACCTTGCCCCGAATCCTTTAGCACTCTTTCTGAATGTGGATGTTGATCTCCAAGTTTCAAACTTGTTTTAGGAGATTATAGTACTAGGTGTAATCCTGGCCAAATGAAATTATGTGATTTCCCTTTCTGCTCTTTGCATTAGATTAATTGAGCATAGAATAATTTTGGATATAAATTTTATCTTATATATGATGTGTCTTCTAGACACAAACTGAAAAACAGGAACCAAAAACCAGTTCATGGTAATCTTTTAATTTAAATTATGTCTTAAAAGATCATATTTTCAGAATCACATTTACCATATATTTTCTCTTTAAAACTGGCTCAGAAAACTGCTTTGTAACTTAGGTCTATATAGAGATGGTAAATTCTCTGTAATCCGAGGTTTCTTAAGGAAATAGCTCTAATGGTGTTCTTATGGCACAGCAGAAGAAGCCTTAGGTGGTCAGAACAGGAAATGTCAACGTTTGTGTATGCTATCAAGTTATTTTGTTGTGCTTACTGAATTTTTTGACAAGTTTCCATTCACTGTTTATTAAAATGCCTACAATGTCTATAATGTCTTCAGCACCATACCAGAGTTTAGTACATACTTGCTTTGAGGTTTTCAGTGAATCACTACTCATTAAATGATGCATAGGCACAACAAAGAATTTCCAGTCTTGTGTACATATAGTAATCAAACTGCAGCTTAATTGCAGTTGCTACTGCTGGCTGCAAATTCATTAAATTAATCACCTTGGCCACATGAGCTATTGCCCATGAGTAAGCAGAATATAGTGTTGAAAACTTCAGGATTTGTAATCTTGTAAAATAAAATTTCTTTTTAGCTTTGAAGCTGAAATGTCCAGCAATGTAGACTTTCACCAGGCTGTTGTTCCAGTTGGCTTTCATAACTTCCCAAAGAATTACAGAAATCTGTGCAGGGCTTTACACTTACTCAAATGATTCGAGGTGTGATTAAAAATCAGTATTTCTTTGTCATGTCTTTGTCATTCCACTCTGGTCTGGGTTTCAGAAGTGTTGGTATTTGTTGGTGCTGGCAAACAAGGATGATACTTTTGTAAGAGTAGGACTTCATAATTTTACATCTCTTAATGAAGACTTCCGTTTTTCATAAGGTGTTTGGGTGTTGATGTTTCATGCCTGTACCCAGTCTTCAAAAAAACACAGTAACCCTGACTTGCATTTTTTTTTCTGGGGAAATTGAAAGAGACGTGCCTTTTAGCTCTTCTTGGGAAGGTGGAAGGGAGGTGACATGGGCAACGGGTCTTTTGAATACCATTGCATGTGTTTGGCAGAAATAGAAGCATTCTTGTCTGAAATATTCCATTATTCTTGGAAAATTATGTAAATTTTACATTTTTCTTATAAGTAAAATGGGACCAAAGATAAATGTTTTGAATGCCCCCCCCCCCCAAAAAAAAAGCAAGAGTTTTTACTAGAAGTATGAGAAATTTGAAAGTTAATGTAATTGGTGGTCTGAAATCCCCAAAAACAAAGGTCTTTTATGAGTTTAAGTCATTTAAAGATTTTTAGAATGACAAAAAAAAAAATAGTATTAGTAGTACGTATTTCAAACCACTTATATGGCTGTACTTTCATTTGCCTTAAATATTGATTTATTTTTTTTCCAATGACTAGTTTGCGGTATTCTTAAAAATACAAAGAACAATCCAACAGAATGGAAAAAAATACTGTTTTAAAGTAAAGCATATGCTTTTTGAATTCTGCTTGAAAAACAAACTGCAATCATATACTTGCTTATTTCTGTATCATGCAACACTTGCTCCTTATTTCGTGCCTAGCAAATAGCAAATTCCTTTTTTTTTTTAAGCAATTGCTAAAAATTCATACAGTGATGCATGTGCATGCTCTTTCTTAGCTGGTGAACTTTAAATAATGAAAATGCATTGTACTGTAGCATTATATTTGCGACTTTAATACAGGTAAGTGGATTTCAGATAATATCCCAAGGGGGAGGGGGGAAATTATGATAACCGTATAGTACTGCAACACAGACTGTTAAAATATCCCAGTTTCAAGATGAAAGATGAGGTGTTGTCTTCAGCTTATAATAGATTCTATGTATAAAATATTTTATAGTTAACTGCTTGTAATGGTAATGGTCGGCTTTACACATGGTCAAAAATGTTTTTGAAAGTCCTTGGAAAGCCATGGTTTTTTTTATGGTCCAAAAATGACCAGAAGTTATGAAAAAATCCATCAGTCACTATGAATACAGCGAATTTGCCCATTTGAAAACAAAACAAAAAACATAGTTCTGAGGTATAAAAAAATACAAATTTTTTTAAGTCCATGTAAAACTTACCTCCCTCAGGGTTTACAGGTGTCTCAGTTTGTGTTGTGAGCATGTAAGTCTTACGTGTGGAATATAACTGTTTTTAAATGAGCACTGTTTTATTCAGAGTGTTAGGCCTTCTGTTTTCAAGTGATCGGAGTAGGCATAAGAGATTTAAAGGAAATAGTCTTTTCAGTATCTATCAAGACTCAAATGTCTCCTGGGGATAAAATATGTAAACAAACAAACAAACAAAAGGTATAGGAAGCACTTCTTTGTAGTAGTTCAGTCCAGGCATACATGTTAGGGATGCTGGTTCTTTAAGTTAAAACAATAACGCACCCATTTGCATTTGTGATATTCATACTAGTTCATCCTTGCAACTGGTCTGGCCCAACATGTTGATGCTTGAATGCAGTGATAGGCATATCTAATCTCCAGGTCAGCTCTTTTAGCCTGCAGATTTGCTTTCTTGGAGCCTATTTATTACTGCTGTTACATCAGACAAAGACCAAATCATAAGGCAACCCGTATTCCCCTTTACTTAAGAGGCATTTAGATGACATTTTTTTATGACTAGCAGCCTGGTTTCATTATTACTCTATGCAAAACAAAACCCACAACTTAATTAAACAAGAAACAATCAAAAAGTTTTTCTATTCTCTTCTTCCCTGATTGCTTTCTTTTGCACTTAAAAAAAAAAAAAAAAAAAAGAGTGGAGTGGGGTGGAACTTGAATGTTCTGTGATTCCTTTGGGTGATGTCACAGTTTTCAAAACTTAACTGGAAAAGGGAGGTTTTGAAATGCTTAAGACAAAAGTACTTGTTTAAGTTTTGGGGACTTCAGAAGGCAGTTCAGAAAATCAACTCCCTTTTTATCGTAATGTTTTAGTTTTCTTTATTTTACCCTTCACTATAGAAATTAATCTCTGTGCATTACATGTATCTGCATGAAAATTTAAAAATAAAATTAGGAAGTGCATTCTAGTCCATTTTGTCTGTAATGGAAGATGAAGGCCACCATGTTGTATCGAATCTCCAAATATGATTCCCTTTCTCCCTTGTCTCTCTCACTTCAGAATTGTTCTAGAGAGACAGAACACTTTACTGCTCAGGGACAGTGGCAGTCAATATAGTTCTTCCTCTACTAACAGAAAGGCTGTATTGGAATACAGTTCACCTGAATGGTTTCAGGTTATCAGATAGTTGTGTGAGCTTCTTTTTAAATAAGCCATAACTTTTTCTGTATTTGTGAAGTTGATGCTTCTCAGTTAACAAGATAATAAGCAATCTGCAATGAAACTTGTGATTTAACTGCATTACGATATTTCTGATAGCTTGGATAAGCTGTTTCCTTCAGTACTGTAGTCATCAAGAACGTACTTCAAGTAAATCTCTTGTAGACATTTCTTATTCTGAAAAAAAATCAATGTTGGAGGAAGTGAGAGGACGCCTCAGCTCCCAGGTGTTAGCATGTTATTACAAATAATTAGTCCTTCCCTGATTGATAAGTTATATATTAGATTGTATTAGTTCAAATGGGATCTTTTATATTTAATGAAAATATATATTGTCAGTCCGGCAGGGGGATTGGACTAGATGATCTTTCGAGGTCCCTTCCAATCTCTAACATTCTGTGATTCTGTGATTCTGTGATTCTGTGACATACGGATTTATCAAAAAATGTGCAGACCTCTGGAAGGAGACATGGAGTTGAAAATTGAGAGTAAGAATGGCAAGCTTAGATATTTGCACTACATATTTTGAAAGACTTGGCTTGTCTTACAAAACAAGCATAAACAGTATTCAGTAGAGCTTATTAAAGTAATTCAGTTTTGCAGTATTGTTGCTTGAGTAACAGTATTTGTCATCTTTGTTATATGAAGAAAGCTTCTAATGCAGTTATGAGTGTACTCTACTATATTATTTGTGCCAGTGGGTTTACCCCTTCTGGAGTTCTAGTTATGTTTTAGTTTTGCATATTTGAGGCTTAACATTCTTTACACTTATTTGCTACAGAAATGTTAAGATAAAATTCTAAAAACCTGTGTTAAGGAAGATTTTTACTTTCTATTATAAATCCTTTTATTAAAAGCAGTAGAGGGATAGAACAGACAATTTAAAGCAACATACTGTATTTTCTTCCTCTATAGATGATGGAGAGAAACAGCAAAAACGCTACAGGCTTTCATCAAAAACCACTCCAAAAGAGAGCTCTCAGTTGCCTGCATTGCCATTGGTAGACCAAGAATCTCCCTCTTACAAAGAAAGATTTATTCCTCCTGAGCTTAGCATCTGGGATTATTTCATTGCAAAGGTAATTTTTTTGCTATTATGACAGTTAAATATCTTCTATCACTTCTGGAATAGGATTTTTTTTCTTCTGAGACTTTATTGTAGGTATCTATTTAGATGTGTGATAGAAGTTGCCTGTTTTTATTACTCATATTTAGCTTTTTCTAAAACAATTCCTGTAGGTATTTTTCAAACAGCTTTCTTATAAAAACTGTTGTTATGAAGTTAGTTTGTTTTCAGATAATGGTACTGACAAAACATGTTTGTTTTTACAGTTGCGGAGTACAAATGTATAGATAATTATGGATCAGCTATTTAGATGAGCAAGGAAATGTGAGAAGCTTTTTATCATCTGTTTCAAATGGGTGAAATGAACATGTATACTTACTAGAAATCAAATGATACTGCCTTCCGTCAAGTCTGTTGTGGCAGATCTTTTTTTGTAGGAAGTTTGATAATTGTATAGGGTTCTGTGGTACATTTCTGTATCAAATATTAGCCATATCAGCAAAATAAATCAGCAGTATTTTAGGTGCAAGGACAAAACAGAAATTGCAAATACTGGATAACACAGTGGGGCATTGATGGTGAGCTTGTCGTAAGTATTGAACTCTGTAGGCAGGGGATAGAATTTTCTTGTTCTTTAGTCCTCTGAACACTGGTGGTTTTGGCTTCTCTCTGACAAATAACAAGCCTGTGTGTCCTGTGTGTGGTTTGATATATCTGATGGGAAAGTAAAGCAGAATAAGAACTGGAAAACTCTTTAGTATCTTAATTTTCAGCATTGGAATTTTGAGTAATATAAAAATTAGTTTTTCAAGTGTGCAGTGCTTATGGGCGGTTACCTTTTTCATGAGGTACAAACTCCAAATGTTACTAAGTTGAGTAAGATGGTATGCCTGCTTTTTATAAAAAACATTAAGTATTGTAATAATGTATTGTTAAGAAGCTAATTTAAATCTAGGTGTTAGGTAGAAGATACTCAAGGAATATTGTTTAAATTTTTAGCCTTTTCTTCCATCACAAAGTAGAGTGGAATATGATTCAGAAGAGAGTCAGGAAAGTGGTGAAGATGGTGAAGATATGGATGGAGATGAGTTTGCATCAAATTCACATAATCAAGAGCATTCTAATTCAAATTCATACAGGTAAGTAGCTCTTTAGAATGCAAGATGTTCTGCAATGGCTAGACTTGCATTTCTGGCCTTTCACTTTTGATTTAATACACGGGTTACTTCATATTTCATGGTGGTGCGTTATCTAGACTTAGTAGTTAATTTTTCACAATGATTATTTTACTCATTTTGTTAATACATGGTGTGACTTTTGAATTCAGAGTATCTATAATATTCTAAAATACTGCTTGTAGTTTTCAGCTTATAATGAGGATTTAAAGCTCTAAATTTAAATCCTAATTGTGAATAACTGAGAAAAATTTATTTTCCTATTAGTAAATGACTTACTAGTGCTTTCTTGTTAGTTGGTCCCTGATGAGATTGGCAATGGTTCAGCTGGTACTTCACAATTTGAAGATTTTCTACCCTTTGGCTGGACATGATCTTTCAGGTAATAAGCAGCTGAGTTGTCTTTTCATACTTAACCACATTTAAAATCAGTAATGTGTTGAATAATATATGTATTGTAGCTTTATTTTTAGTTCACAGTTGTTACTTCTCCCATGATCTGGGAGTAATTTTCGTGATACTGTTCACCATACAGGTGTATTTATGAAATAACATAGTGGATGGGTAACAGGAGTGGGTGGGTGAGAAGGAATGATCAGAAGTTATCAGAAGTCTCTGTATACTTAGTTTTTTCATTGCCTCTTAGTCATAAAAGTGAGTTTACAGTATTTATTTCTTGGTGGAAACCCTATAGTTTTTTGTAATTAAAGTTACATCATTCCTACTTCTTATATCATAGAATCATGGAATGGTTTGGAAAGGAACCTTCACGATTATTTAGTCCATTCCTCTTGTTGCAGGCAGGGACACCTTTCACAACATTTTATTGCTTAAAGCCCCATCCAACATGATTGTGAACGCTTCTAGGGATGGGGCATCCACAGCTTCTCTGGGAAACTTGTTCCAGTGCCTCATCAACCTCATTGTAAAGAATTTTTTTCCTTACATCTAATCTAATTCTACTCTCATTTAGTGAAAAACCATTAGTCCTTGTCCTGTCACTACATGTCCTGGTAAAAAGACTTTTTACATCTAAGTCCCCTTTAAGTCATGGAAGGCTGCTATAAGGTCTCCCCAGAGCTCCTCTTCTCCAGGCTGAAGAACCCCGACTCTCACAGCCATTCTTCATAGGAGAGATGTTGCATCCCCCTTATCATTTTGTGGCCTTCCTCTGGACCTGCTCTAACATGTCTTTCTTGTACTGGGGGCCCCAGAGCTGGATGTGGTACTCCAGGTGGGGTCTCATGAGAATGAATTAGAGGGAGTGACTCACCTCTCTCAGCCTGCTGGCCACCCTTCTTTTGATGCAGCCCAGGATACGGTTGGCTTTCTGGGCTGCCAGCACACATTGCTGGCTCATGTCCAATTTTTCATCCACAGGTATCCCCAAGTCCTTCTCAGTAGGGCTGCTCTCAATCTATTTGTCACTCAGTCTATATTGATGCTGCTGGTTGCCCTGACCCAGGTACAGGACCTTGCACTTGTCCTTGTTGAACTTTGTGATATTCGTGTGGGAACACTGGTCAAGCCTGTCAGGGTTCCTCTGGATGCTTCACTTCCCTTTAGCAAATCAAGTGTACCACTCATCGTGGTGTTATCTGCAAACTTGCTGAGGGTGTGCTCACTACCACTGTCTATGTCATTGTCAAAGATATTGAACAGTACCAATCCCAGTGCACAACCCTGAGGGACACCACTTGTTTCTCATTTCCGTTTGGACATTGAGCCGTTGACTGCAGCTCTTTGGATGCAGTCATTCAGTCAGTTCCTTATCAATTGAATAGTCCGTTCATCAAATCTGTGTCATTCCAATTTAGAGGTAAGGATGTTGTGTGGGACCATGTCAAAGGCCTAACAGAAGTCAAAAGCAGAGGACATCAGTTGCTCTTCTCTTGCCTACCAAAAATGGAATGCCACCAAATTAATCAGGCATGATTTGCCCTTTGTGAAGCCATGTTGGCTTCCTGTCATCACCTGCCTGTCATCTGTTTGCCTTGATGTGGCTTCCAGGAGGATTTGTTCCATGATTGTTAATTTCTGTCAGCATTGAACAAATGTGTTCCTGGATTTAGCAATGAGAACACAAAACAAATTCATCTTTTTATACTTGGAAATTGGAGATATTTGAAATACACTTCAGCTGTGGAATTATGTTCATCAATGTTATAATGGAGAAGGAGTGGTTTTTATTATTGTTTACTTGTCTTTCTAGAGCTTCCAGTTAGCTCCCCAATATGCCATGCAGTTTTGAAAACACTACAGCGCTGGGAACAAGTTCTTCTCCGACGTCTTGAGCTATGTGGGGGTCCACCTCAACATTATATTTCAGTTCCTCCTTCTGAAGATGCCCAAGCTGCTGGTCCTGCATTGCTTCGCCATAAGACTTTACTTGAGCCTACAAACACTCCATTCAAGTGAGTCTAATTTCTGTAAACACTGACTACAGTATCTTTAATATGCATCAAGCATTATGTTGTTAGTTCATGTGATAGACCACAACTTTGATAACTACGTAATGCCAGTTTCTAGATTTGCTGTAATCCATTACAAAGTTTTGGGTTCATGTCAGAGTTTATACATCTCTGGTCCAAAGCAAGATCAGGAAAAAGAAGCAAAAGTTTCTCAATTTTAAGTTTTATTGAAGGTGAACATACTGATTTTGAGTATCTCTGTGGAAAAACTGTGGTTGGCAATAACGGATTTGCCCTAAGAGATAATTAAGGATGAGTAACAATGTATTAAATAATTGTCACATCTTTTGAGGGAATAAAATTACATTCTTATCAGTATCTTTTCCTAAAATCAAAGAAGAATTATTTACTATTTATAATACTTGCATAGTTGTGACTCCACATAATTACATGTTCAGCCAGAAAAGTGTGCTCAGTTTCTTAAATTGACATTTTTACAGTAGATTTCTGCCTTTTTGATCTTACTATCACCTGTGAGTGCAGAATCACCAGAAGGACTTTTTGTTGTAAAATATCTCAGAATTACCACACTTAGTTTTAGTAACTTGAGTTGATCAAAAAGGAACAATTTAAAATGTATCTGCTGCCTGGAATTATTTTAAAATTACGATTTAAAGTGATTCACAGTTTGATGGTTTTTGGCCTGCCATAAGCAGGTTTTGCTTAAGCATACAGTTTCTAGGGATAAGCATAAGCATTGAAGTCTGATCTGATTCTACAATCCTTCTGTTTTTGTTACCTAAAAGTCATGTTTTTTTCAGAGATGTTGCATAGCTGATGATGTGTTCCTAGCAGGAAGTGTTAGTTATTCATTGTCCATGTGATAGAAGCTCTCATTAGGAATAAACAGAAGTGATCCATGTTGTAAAGAATGTGGAGAATTAATAAATAATCCATTGCTGACTTTGTTATTATATAATACCTTAGAGATTTTTCTCACTTATCCCAAGATAGGAGGTGGAAATGCTATATTTTCTTCTTGCTTTTGCGCCTCCTCTCACATGTAGGTTTGTCAGGAAGATGGTATCGGGATGTTTCTGAATAGGTCTTGTAAAGTATTTAGAGAGCTGTAGTTTTGCTTCAGCATTTTGTCTGCATTTGATTAGAATGTAAAATGTTACAGTCTCTTATGAGCATGATGTAAATATTCATTTTAACTTTGTTCTGTAGATCTAACAGTCATGTTGCACTATCAGTGAAGAGGCTCTGGCAGTACTTGGTTAAACAGGAAGAAGTCCAGGAAACCTTTATCAGAAATATTTTTACAAAGAAGCGATGCCTAAATGAGGTTGGTATGGTGTCTAAAATGTTGCAGATCAATCTGTGAGCTTTTACTTAAGTTGTATGGCTGGCTTGTTTACTTTCTGAAGCATGAGTGGATAATATACTTGGCTGTGACTCTAAATCTACATTATTTCATGTTGAAAATCTTTTTCCCGTTGTTTCATTGGAAACAAAAATAAGCACTCTGACTGTAGACTGAAAACTAACACCACTTAGCTACACTCAGCCTCTTCATTAAGAACAGCATAAAAGCTGCCTCAGAAGAATGACAAACTTTAAAATTTCAGAGATTAAAAGTAGTAACTTCATCAGTTAAAGTTCTAGAAGTTTGAGTTTGTCCCTTCCGTAGTCATCCTGGGTTCATACACTGGTTACTGTCATTTTATCATTCAATTTTAAAAAGAATGGTTATACAACAGTTAATATTTCTGTCCCTGATAACTTGTCCCAATGTATAGCTGGATTCCAGGTTGTAGATTCAGTTAAATGTTTTAAAGTTCTGCTTCTGTAATGGAGTTTTGGGTTTTTTTCTCCCTCTTTAGTTGCTCCTTTTCTTTCTTACACACCACTACTCCCAATAATTTGGAAGAATCACTTGTGTTGTAGAAAAAATATGGAGTAGCAGAAACATAGGAGAAAGAAGATCCAAACAAATTAAACATGTAGGAGAAAAAAAATACTCATGACTAGTAAAGCCATGGCAACAAAGAGTTCTGTATGAGTTAATCTTTGTCCTGTCACAACTAGAATTTTGGCTTATTTCAGTATTTGTGGCTGTGTTCTGTACAGACTGCAGTTAAAAGAAAAATTGTTCCTTTTGCTTTGTCCTTTGAAGATGCACCATTTCTGATTGTGTCTTATGTTAAGGCAGCCATGTGGCTATGGTGTATGGAACGGTATTTTGAAATGTTTAGATAGATGTGTTTGTTTCCAGGTAGGATTATTGACGCCTTACACAGCATAAGTGTGTTGGCTTTATTTTGTATCCTCTTATTACTGATGAAATGTCAGTGGAGATCGCATATTTTCCCTTGTGAGATGGACAAGGTGCTGTTCCAGTACAGAATATGTAAATTGGTATCTTCTGCACTGAATACAGAGTTTAGAATTTTATTATTACTGTTACTGCATAAATACATATGTCTGTGTGTGTGCAAACATGCTATTGTGTTTTAGTTCTGTGTTGGGGTAAACATCAAGAAATTAAGGATTTCCTTGATAGCGTGTGTGTTATGTCTTATATTTATTCTTTGTTTTGTGGTTGTTCTTTCCTTGGTGAAGTCATTAGAGGAGCACAATGAAACCATGAAAAATTCTGTGATGGAGGAGCCCATCATCAATAAGGTACACAGTAGTAATGCTCAAATTAATGAGACTTTACATCTTTATGAAATATTTCCTTTTTGAAATGGTGCTGATCTCACTTAAAACAATGCTTGCTGTCATAGCAAATAAAACTAAAAATTCAGTTTTGCAGGATATTGAGTTAAGCTAGTCATGGTATGGAGCCTGTCTAAAACTAAATGTATCTTACAAATCTGGATTAAACAACCAGGTAAGAACAGTATGTATTATCAAATTCCATAGCTATACTAGATTAAGAACTGAGGTTGAGGTTTACCCAAGTTACAAAAATTCAGTAGTACTATGGGAACATAATACATATAGGACCTTTCACCAGTATGAAATGGCTAGAATAGTAGCCTGTAAGTAAAGGTGGTTAACTGAAGTTAGAGCAGTTTGTTAGCATGATACGGGTTTGCTACTGAAAATTTTCTCTGAGCCTTAGCTTTAAGATGGTGACAAATCAACAACTTTATAGCAACTTTCTTGAAAGATTGGTATGAGAGACTAAAAAGGTATAATACTATGCCTAGAAATGCAAACAAATACTGTATTCTTCAGGCCTTCTTTTACAAAACTAGTCAGAAGACAGAAATGAGAACATCATGTGATGTCCTTGGGCTACGTTGATATTAATTATGTTAAAAATCAGTATTAGCAAGTAGGTAATTGGAACTGACTGGGGAAAAATAATCTTAATTTTATGTGGGTTTGATCACCACACAACACAGATCATGTTTTTTGTATCTGTTTGTCACTGCAGTTTTGTGCGGTTTCATATACATAAGATCACTGGAGTATCAATTTCATTTTAATTTTAAAAAAGGTGTTCTACTTTGTGGTGTATAATAGCCACAAACTTTTTTCAGACTTTGAAAAAGACTATGTGAGGTTCTTTTACAGCACCATCTTACTGTTTGTTAACTTAAATATCCTTTTAAAAATCTTTTGAAGACCAGAGAAAAAAGAATCTTAAGGGGAGAGGCTGGTAAACAGTGGTTCTGGAATAGTTATTTGTGTTTTGAAGAAAAGACAAAGTTTTACATTTGAAATTCAGATTTGAATTTTTATGTCACCATTTGTTTGGCAATGCCATATTTTTTACTGTAAAATTATTTTGTAACTACAGTAGACTGGAATCTGTAATCTATCAGTTCAATACTTATAATGCTGATCTCTTCAATTTTGAACAGGTATACTTTAGTGTGGGTAGAGTTTAGAATTTTGTTGTGTTTTGGTATATACCTGGACGCATTTCTAAAATACAAAAAGGTGGACAAGATTAAAATACAACATTAGATCACGTTAAGGAAAAAAAAAATCTCATAGTAAAAGTTTGTGGTACTGGAATGTGCAGGGTTCCAGATGTATTTCATTGTGGAGAGTGGTGAATAGATAAGCTGACAAAGTTCAAATTTATTTTCCTGCTCAGGATCTTGTCTGCACCTTCTTTTGGACTGTTTAATCAGTTTCAGTGGCAAAAAGTGTTTACTAAGACCATGAAAAGACTTAGCAAATTTTTTTAAGAACAAAATGTTAAGGCTCAGTGTTTTATTATCGACACCCCCAAGTGTGCGTGTAGCCTCACTGGTTTTCAGCATCTCTGAGAAATTTGAGAATGAACATAGTACTGTAACTTCTGTGATGAATTATGTTTCTGTGTTGCTGTGGTATTCTCAACATGATGGTGGGAAGCTAGATTACTACACATGAAACAGATTTACCATAGTTGTTGCAGGTTATATTTGTCTTATTTTCTTAGAATTAAAATCAAGAAAAAATACATTAAATTTCATACAACCCAGTTGTTGGTCACTGTACTTCCAGTGAAAAGCAGTGTTGCATAGAAGTTTGCACTTACATATGCTTTACTTTTTAAATAGATAGAAACAGATTTGGGATACCCAGGAGGCAAGGCAAGAATAATCCATAAAGAGTCTGACATCATTACTGCTTTTGCAGTCAATAAGGTGAGTATCAAGGAGGTAGGATAATCGAATTGTGTTGTACTTCTACCTGATAAAGAAAAGAGGTAGTCATTCCATTGTGAATGGGTGAGATATCCTTTGCCAGCCATCCTGCTACAGCTTGAACTCTCAGTGCCCCCTTCTCTAAAGCACTTCTTAATTAACTTTTCATAATTAAACAGTTCTACCCCAAATCGTCTTTTTTTTTCTGTTGTGCAATAGATTGAGGGAAGGGAGAGGTGGTCTCTAGTTATTTCTTTAAGCTTGTGTGTAGCAGTACTTTTCCTTTTATGTTGAAGACCATGACGAAGTCATCTTTTCTTCTCCTGTTTAACCATTTAAGCATTAAGAAGTGGAGAAGGGGAGCTTGGTTGCAAGCATTGTAGTATAGTTACTTCTTGTTTATCCTCTGAGGAAAGCAAGGAGAAACTAGAGCTGCTTAAGAGAGGTATAAAATATAAGTAAAATTTTAAAAAGCACTTTTTGAGTATTCCTTTTTTTGTATCTGCCCATGTGTGTATTACTTTTTTTCAGGCAAATCGGAACTGCATTGCAATAGCATCAAGTCATGACATTCAAGAATTAGATGTTTCTGCAATTTTAGCTACACAAATCTATACCTGGGTTGAAGATGATGTGGAAATAGAAAATAAAGGGTATACTTTCAATGTTTCCAATATCACAGCTTGACTGCATATAAATCAGTGTAACAAAGCACAGTATTTAATGTTGTTCTTTGGAATCTAACTTACAATGTTGTTTCATTTATAGGGCTGATGATTTCTTAGTTATACATGCTCGTGATGATCTGGTAAATGTTCAGGGAAGCACTCCTTATACTCATAGTAATCCCGGCACACCTATCAATATGCCTTGGCTTGGTAGTACACAAACTGGCAGGGGTGCATCTGTGGTAAGTCACTTGTCAAAGATCAGCCTTATGTACTCTATCTACTCCTTTCCTTTTGTCTGTGTTGCTGGTTATATTTTGCAATTAGCATGTAAGTAAATATAGCGTTTTGTGTAATCATCCGATTAATAGGTTAAAATACTGCGCTGAGTTTAAGATACACCAACTAAGCAAGGAAGGTTTTTAGTCAACCCATATGCTTTCTTCACTTAAGATACATCATTTAAAAATAAAGAATCAGGGTTCAGGTAAGAAGTTGCAGCTTAAATTATTTTTCAACGACTTGAGCCAAATGCTCCATCTAAAAATAACATGTTCAGGAGATTTCAGGATACAAATTCATAAAGATTGGGTAGAAATACTGTGAAATAACGAGGTAGCTTTTATTTTAAGCATAATCTTAAGTTTCATTCTGAGTTCCAGACTGTTCTAAGTTTTTTTTTAAAGTAAATACCAACTTTTGGTCTAGTACAAAGTACCATTGTAGTGCACTATATGTTAGTATCAGCCTGTGTTATAGGAAAGACAGTGAATGAACTCCTGAAGCAGATTTCACTGGCAGGACAGAGCTTCAAATGAAGTGATTTAAACTCTGGAAACTGAGCAACTTAAACTTGGGAAAAATGGGGATTCTTGTTTTCATAAGAAAAACGAGGAAGGCAGGACTGGAGAAATAGGACCAACTACAAAAGTCGTGCGTAGTTTGAACTACACATCATGCTGATGTATGAGTGTTTATCTCCAAAGCTGCTGTCAGCTCTGTCTTCTTTGAAGTGCTGCACAGTTTTGGCAAAACTCTGCTTAGTAGCTTTCTTAAATATCTCACTTCTGAATATCATGTTTTAGAGTAGATAATCCATTTCACTGTTCGGTATTTCTGAAATATACTAGAGTGAAGGACACCCAGTGAAGTGTGACTATGTCCACATGGACAAATTGATACTTCCTGTTGTAGAGGTCACACTTGCACAAGGGCAGCTTTTACTTTTAGAAATAGATTCTGTGCCTGGAGTGAAGCTTGGCCCTGAACAAAAAGCTATTGCTTCAGATTTGATTCAGATCAAATGATAATTCTAGTCTGGCCATTGACATATTTACCTCAGTTCTTCTGCAGCATAGATGCTCTCTAATAATGCAGGTCTGTTGATGAGTTAGGAGGGAGATGCTTATTTGAAGCCACTTAACTGGGCTGAAATGGTCCTGCAAGACACCTGTATTTCTTAGCCTATCTCCACATAGAGGTGGAGTTTTCCTGGATTAACTGAATGCATTGAGTCTTGTGACCTGGCTGCACTTTGTGGCATTTAACAGCTCAGAGCAAGTCCATAAGTGATGGCAGAATGAAAGAGCCATATGTGAGTTCATATTGTAGTTGGTTTTTGAAAATATTTGGTGATTAGGAGTAAATAAGGAATGAGCATTCTAAGAAGGGTAGTGTAATCCATACATGGAAGTGGGTATTGTGCCAGTACCTACATCTCCTTCTGTTTAGGAACTACTGATCCTAGCTGCCAGTTTTGCAGCTGTGGTATCACAATCAGGTCTCTTCTGCAAGTATTTCTTGAATGGCTTTGCCACTCTCTCCTTTCACTTCCATTTAGCAGCATATATATACATATATATACACACGTATCTGTAGAATTTGTGTGTTTGTATTTCTCAACAAAGTAATTACATAGTCTATTAATGTAAACTATTCTTACATTACTTTCTATTTTATGTGTAGTAAAACTTTCTTACCTAAAGATACATGGCTATGCTAGTGTTGAAGGTGTTTGCTGTTAAACTTTGGACCTAAATTTTGTTTGGCATACTGTTTGACTGTGGCAGAATAGAGAACCAACCACAGCACACAACAACACCTGCCCACTGGGAAGGGGAGACAAAGGTACTGAATGATGGACAAAGTAAATGAAGGAAAGATATAGGGATTCTTGGGACGACAAAGTATTACTATGGAAGGACTCAAATCTAGAGGAAAGCCAGCTTCACCAAAATCTTTGTTGCTACTATTTGTTATTTTGTTCCTTCAGATACTGCTTTTGATCCTTGTTCCCATCTTTGCTTTTCCATAATTTGCTGCCCATTTAATAGGCATAGTCCACTGTTCTTTACCATTATTGACTTTTCAGTCTTTGCTTCACTTACATCAACAAGGAAACTATTGGACATATGATACTCAGACATTTAACAACATTTTATTAGCTCTAAGGTTTTTGTGTTACTCTTCTTCACTGTTTCCTCTTTTTCACTATTTCCTCAGTTCATGCCACGTAAGTAAGGAGACTCACCACCAGGTCGTTCAGTACAGTGTGTTTACACAGTTCTTACAGGAAATGTTTCTGAGAGAGCACTGAAGTAAATAGTGTGTACTGTCAGCTTTGAAACTCAGGTAGTGTTCAACAGCTTATCTTCCAAACCATTATGATTGACACTAATATTCACCAGTTTAATAACTGGTATGTCAGATTTTAAGCTTTTTTGTTCGTCAGTCTTACTGCACATTAGGCCCAAAGCACCCAACTGTCCAACAAAGCAATCACTGTTCTAGCCATCAGCTATTGTGAAGGGGAAACTGAGCACTAGCAGTAATAAATGTCAGTTACATTGGTAATGGAAGTATTCGCATTTGATAATGGTACTTGGCTTCTAAATTAGGAATGATGCATCAGAGATTTATGTTAGCATAGTCTTTCAAGGCACATTTCTGTAAGCTTGCGTTTTTCCAAAGCATCATCCAGTAGGGGTTAGGAGATCATGACGCATGCTTATCTGTTGAATGAAGGAAGATATTTCCATTGACTTCTGGATGAAAATTAGTATTTGTAAAACTCAACACAGCCCTTAATTTTGGTGAAGAAATAGAATAAGCATGAATAATTGTTCTTTCACTTACGCATAGAGATAAATTGCAAGTTTAGAGAGCAAAGTATTGCAGTTATTTTCAGAATGGTGTATGCACTAATGTTTGAAGAATATAGTCCTATGTTGTCTTGTCTTAAATCTTATAATGTATATATTGTTTTATTCACCAATGTTTTACCAAACCATTGAGCTTTTTTCCTTGTCATTTAAAGTGCTTACAGAAAAAAGGGAATATGTATTTGAAGTTCTTATATTTTGTCTTCAGGAAAGTGTTTTGAAATAAACTTGGGTAACCAAGAGGCGTAAGACTTTCTCCTCAACAAATAATAAAGCTTTGAGGATTGAAAGATCTGCTAAGTTGGCTTCCAAAATGTAATCAAGATAATTGCAATTACTCCACTATTCCAAACCGCAGGAAATTTTAGCAAGAAAATAAATTTCCCTTCCAAGTGTTTTTGCTACTTTTTGTTTGCAAACTGGAAATTTGGATAACATTGCTTTTCAACTCTTTGGATCATATTTAGAAATGTGAAGGAAGTAAAAATTTGTAATTCATACCTCCTTCCAGTTGATACCCTGATATGATTGGACACCAGGAGAGAATATCCTGCTTAAAATACTTGATTTGCTATCTACAGTTTCAGTGAAAAAGCAGTGGCAAAATACTGTACAAAATTATAGCAGTTGAAAGTCATGATTGGACTCGGTCTTAAAGATCTTTTTCCAGCCTAAATGATTCTGTGAAAGTGGTTTAGTGCCAGCTTGCTGCTGATGTGTAGTAAGTGGTGAGCTGCTGTGTTAAAAGTGGTGAGTGCTCTGTCCACAAACGTTTTGTGCTGTCATTTAGAGTTAACATCTGTCATGAATAAAAACTTACGCCCTCTTCTCTCAAATGTTCAGGTAAATAATGCATGCATGGGCAAACCAAATCCAACAATTTCCTGAGGAAAGACAGTCCTCAAAGTAGCGTGATGCTTTTAGGGAGAACTAACTGGAAATAAAAGAATGAAAGCTTAACTTTGACATACATTAATAGAAAAAAAAAGAAGGGAAGAGAAATGCAAGGAAAATACAGATTAATTTCCCTGATGAAAAATCCCTACCATTTCTTTGCTGTTGTGGGTTGGACATATGATTTAATTAGGTAGGGTTTTTATCTTAATTGTGTGATGTCTCCAGTCCTGTTCATATACTGAACTCTTCCCAGTTAGCAGTTAATCAACTAAGAAAAACAGCAAACTAAACTAAGAAAAGCAACAGCTTTGCTCAAAGCAAAGTTTGGAATTTAGGAACAAAAGTGCTACTGAAAATCCGCTGGATGTGTATTTGCAAAATTATAAACACTTTTGAAGAATTATTTCTTTACCGGTTGCTAGGTATATTGGTTATTCTGGGTGGCCACAAATAATAACTTTTCAATAAATGGCAATAAATTAATTAGACTTGAAAATAATATATTCCTTCATATTTTTTATTTCTATTCAAGTTTGTTTACCTCTTTCTTTACATGCTTCTGCCTCTCTCTTGCTTATCTTACAATATTCAGGAATATTCCAATAAATTTAATGGAATCAGAAAGGAATTGGCAAGAAAAGAGGTAAGATTGCAGTCTAAGGAGTGTTTATATTTGGATCCATAAATCTCTGAAGCAAAGAGTTAATATTTACCTAGATGTATAAAGCTGCAAGAGTATTAACATCTGCACTATTGTTGGAAGAAACTTGACTTCTCTCTCAATTTTTAAACCCAGTACTTGCGTTCAGTAGGAATTTTGATAGGAAACACCTCTCTTCAATCACTAATTATTCTAGATCAGTAATGTTTTGTTCAGTAGTATTGTTAATGCTTTTGTATTATTTTGTATATTGAACAGATGCTCAAGAAGGCTATTAATAACGTCAGAAGGATGGCTTCTCATCCAACGTTACCATACTGTAAGTTCAATTTTTTTAAAAAAAGAAAAAGTTATATAAAGGTTATATATTTACTTATTGGCCCTGTTTCTTAGTATGCTGCTCTTTTGTACTAGCACAGCAATCTATTATGTTTCAAAAGTTGCTTATAAGCCCTATTTTACTGAAACTATTTTTCATTTAAAAAAAAATAATACTGGGGGATATAGAAAGTGATTTTTTTTATAGCAAAAAGTACTGTATTTCTGTTTTATTTGTGACTTAGATGACAGATAATGGGAAAAAGATACATTATTATCTCCAAGTGAATAGCTTCGTATTTCAGTACCATCTAAATACAGTTCTTCAGTAATGAGTAAGTACAGTTGAATAAAGTTTGAATAGCGCAGTTTAAAGTTTCAGTGATACCCACTACAGTATGCCAGGTACTATGGCACATATTGTGGCACTAGTTATTTTGAGGATGTTGTGAGCTGGTGTGAGATTTCTTAAAATTTTGGAAGCAACCTTCCTGCTCAGCTGCTACAACACATGGGAAAAGTCACGTAAATATTTTCTGCTGCAGACCTGACAGGTGCTCAAGATGGTAGTGTAAGAATGTTCGAATGGGGTCATGCACAGCAAATCACATGTTTTCGGTCTGGTGGCAACTCAAGGGTGACTCGAATGAGATTCAATTACCAAGGAAATAAGGTAACTAACAGAATGCTTCTGTACTTAACTTCTTCTCTTCCCCTTCTCCTACCCCTGACTCCACCCCCCATACAATTGTAAATTAGCAGAAACAACACATTCTTCAAATTTAAAGCAGCTTCTTGGAATTGCAGATAATTTCTCTGTAATACATACATACATATTTATAGTTCATATATCTTTTTTTCAGTTTGGAGTTGTTGATGCTGATGGATATATAAGTTTATATCAAACAAATTGGAAATGTTGCCCACTTACTGGAACTTCACCTAAACCATATTTGGTAAGGCGAAAACTAAATTTACCTGCATAAACTTGTGTTGCGCTCTCTTAGTTTCTTCCCCCTTTAGAATTGTTAGGAGAGGGCAGGGATTGTGCTGATAACTGGTATTAATCAAGATTTAATAATATATTGTTGCTACCCTGTGTTCCATATGACAGACAAGTTCTTCAATCCTAATCATACTAAGTTGGAGACTAGAAAATGCAATGTTAGAACTGAAATAACTTGAATGTTCTTTGAGACTTGTCAGTAATTGTCAATTGTTAATTGTCAATAATGCAGGACTGGAAAGCGTACCTCCATGAAAAATTAAGAGTATCAGAAGGCATGAACATACCTTTATATCCTGTCTTCTTTAAATTGTTTTTGAAACAGCTCATCTTCTTGAGGAAGTTTTAAGATTTCATGCTTATACAAAATCTGTTTCTTTTCTAATCAATAATTTCTAAACTGCAATTTTTCAGACATGGCAATGTCATAACAAAACAGCCAATGACTTTGTTTTCATCAGTTCATCATCTCTGATAGCCACAGCAGGATTGTCTTCCGACAACAGGTAAGAACTGCTGTGATAATGCATAAAAAATTAAGTGATGCCATGTTTTCTCTTCTTCCCTTTCCTCCCACCTTTTTTTTTATGATTCTCCTTAAGCAGTTTAAGAGCAACTTGAATACTTCTGCTCTCTTTATTTCTTTGTGGGAGGGGGAGAGACGCAATGTTTGCAGCTAAATTCCATGTGCCTATAAAAAGAGGTTCCATAGGGAAGTACAAATCCTCTGCTTATGCTCCATATGAGGAGGGCAAGTGAAGAGGGAGCTGCTGATCTCTTCTCCCTGGTATCCAGTGACAGGATGCGTGGAAATGGTTCAAAGTGGCATCGGACTTAACATTAGCAAGGATTTCTGTACTGAGAGGGTGGTCAAGTACTGGGACAGGCTTCCTAGAGAGGTGGTGAATGCCCCAAGCCTGTCAGTGTTTGAGGTGCTTGGACAATATGCTCAGTAACATGCTTTAACTTCTGGTCAGCCCTGAAGGTGTCAAGCAGTTGGACTAGATGATCTTCGTAGGTCCCTTCCAACTGAAATATTTAGTTCTATTCTCTTCATATGAGCCTGTCTTAAATAATTTCTATTGATTTAGGGAGTTGTGCTTTTCTCTTCATTTCATGCTTGTTTTCTGAAGTAAGTTTTCATCAAGAAATAGAAAAAACTGCTAACACACAGCTACAAAATTGTAATTGTAAATTCAGATGCAAAAGATTGTAATCTCAATCCTTTATTAGATTAGGATTCATAGTCGTAGAATGATTGTGTAGAGGGCATGTTCTTGCAGTATATGTATAACTATGAAAGTAATTTGAGGTCAGCTCAAAAGTAATCATTTAAAGTGTGTTTACAGGGCCTGTAACATGCCTGAAACAATCTTACTAGGGTTCAGATGACTCTTTGAGTGTTCAAACTACTATAGAACATTTGTTGCCTAAAATGTTTATCTAATCAAAACATTTTTTTTTTCTACAGAAATATTTGTCTTTGGGACACTTTGGTTTCACCTACTAATAGCTTGGTGCATGGTAAGTAAAATACAACCAGCAAAATATTTAATGACAGTAAAAAAATATGTATGTGTATGTCTTTATGGAAAAGTTACTGTGGTAAGTAGAACATCTT